CCCCCCCCCCCCATGCTGAGGTAGAGGACCAAGTACACCTAGACCATATCTGACAGTTGTTTGTCCAAACTCTATTTAACCTCCCATGATGGGGATTCCACAACTTCCCTTGGAAGCCTATTCCAGAGTTTAACTACACCTATAGTTAGAAAGATTTTCCTAATACCTAACCTAAATCTCACTTACTGCAGATTAAACCCATTACTTCTGGTGGACATGGAGAACAATTGAGCACAATCCTCTATAACAGCTCTTACCATATTTGAAGATTAATCAGGTCCCCCTTCTTGTCAAGACTAAATCTGCCCAGTTTTTTTAGTCTTCTCTCATAGGTCTGATTTTCTAAACCTTTTTATCACTCTCCTCTTGGTTCTTTTCAATTTGTTCACATCTTTCTTAAAGATGTACAGTCATGAATGTTATAAGATCAATAAGACATTTGTTCCTATGAAATTCAATTAAATATGAACAAATTTGAAAAAAATGAAATGCTTTTTTATTTTTAAACAAAAACAAAACATACCCCCTGTAGAACTCATTGCTACCAGATATTACTGAAACAAAAGTCTCAGTAAAGGATTAAGCATTTTATATGGATAATGGGTACATAGTTGGTGCTTAGTTTGTAATGAAAGATCTGCCAGGGCTCAAACACTTTTTTTGCATTCACAACTGATGCAGCAAGCCCAGAGGTGCCAGGGCTATGAAGTGCCAAGGCTCAGCACTGACAAATTAAGCTCTGTATATAATCACATTTTACACTAGCTAAAATAAACATTTACAAGGGATATACATCCTGATGTAAGAGATAAGACAAGCACTGTGGCTAAGAAGAAATTCCCATCGTAAGATTATTATTCCATAATTGTCCATTATGGAAGTTTTAACTCTTGTTCTGAAGCAGAGCTGGTTGGGAATTTCCATGAGAGTGATTTTCCAGTTGAGAATGCAGTTACTGTAAAATCAAAACAGATTTTCCAAACATAAAAATAAAAAATATATTTTCTAGTGGATAAATTGAAATGAAACACAGTAAAACCTGCCTTAGAGACTACCTCCACATTTCAAAATCAAAAGTGTTCAGAATTTGTGTTGCAGAAAAATGTCAAAATCTCAACATTTCGTCCTGATTTGGAATGAAAACAAATGTTGAAGTGTCAGAATTTCCCATGGGATGGAAGTTCTGAATTTCACTCATTTTTACTCTGAAGCATCTGGTATTGTGTACTGTTGGAGACAGGCCACTGGACTAGATGGACCACTGTTCTGAGCTAGTGTGGTAATTCCTATGTAATTAATATGAAAAATGTGAGTACATAGTGAACTTGAATTGAGATTGTCCAAATTTCTTAGAATTTAGATTTCTTACAGTTACTGACAGTACTGAGAGGTAGGAAGTTGCCCTAAATTATATTTTGGACAATAAATACTTTCAAAGTTAATTTTTTTCATAATGACTAACATTTTCCAACATAAATATTGAAGTATCCTGCATTCCTTACTTTGGTCTTCACTAGGGTGTCTGTTTATGTTTGGTTTTGAGAATGATATAACGATGTAGAGGTAACATGAAACAGGTTTGATGTGACATTTTATAAACAAACTGGGCACAAGAGAGAAATGTGAAAGCTGAGATGTGGTTGTTATGACAACCAAATTAGAAGCAGTTCTTGCTGGACATAAGTGAAGCGGTAACATGAAAGTTATTTTCATTCTTTAAAGACAAAGGTCATAGTTGTAGCATTTTACTCTGGCTGCTTTTTCAAAATCCCACTAGTAATAAGAGTAATGCCATTGAATATCCTAAATACTTTCAGCTAGAATTGTTAAGAAAAGACTGAAAGAACACAAATACCAAGACAGTGTTTTCTGTATATAAGGAAGGCAAATCTTATTCTTATTTTAAGGATAAAGAAATGAAGGTTCAGACAGGCCAAATGATTCAACCAATTTCATTCAGGACATCTGTAAAAGAGCTAAGAAGAACTCAGAAGCCCTGTGTTTTAGTCATAAGACTGTCCATCCTCCCTTGGCTGGAGTATTCTTAAATAATGGTAAGAAATGTTTGTAATCTTAATTACATATTTGAAAACTTTCAGGGTCTGAAAGTTACATTACATTGTCACCAACACAAAATTTGAAATCAGACAGGGCAGAGAGATAGAACACCACATCTGCATACAGCCATTTGATGCATCATAATTAAGTCTCCAAAAGATTATACTTAATGGAAGAAGGTGTAAAGACAAGCTGGGTGAGCACCACATTGCTTCAGTGAGTGATTTTATAAAATTAGGGAAATGCATAGACAACCCAAAGTCAGTTCAGACTCTAAAAAGGCTTGGAATGGTCTCGAGTCTCAGAAACTACATATTAGCCCAGGGGCATTACAAGCATTCATTTTTCTACAGTGACAATGACAATAAGACCCACTATGCAAACAGGGTACATGCCACTCAGCTTTGTTATTACAGCAGAAACAAAAAACCTGAAGGGTGAGATGCTACAGCTTGGTCATACCCTATTATAGCAGTAGGAAATGTTAGGGGCAAATTTGTTAATAGCTGACTCCTGCAATCTGTGAATCCCTGCTTCTGACAGATTTTCTACCAGCTTATGTTTCCTCTTATTGCAGCCCAGGAGATGGACATTAGCAGCTGTCTGGAACAATACAGCATTGCATTTAAATACATTTAAAATAATAGTATTTGATGGAATTAATGAGAATTGCTGTTCCATTTTTTGTTTAAACATTCCATGAATAGTTAAGTACTTTTCTTACTTACTTACCTTTTTCATTAGTTATGTAGAGAGCATGGAAAAACAAGCAGCACTTTGAAAAATGTCACAGTATATAAATAGCACTTCTGAGAACATTACTAAAGTTCTACTGAACTGCAAAACCAACAAGTTAGTGGTGAAGATAATGAAGATGCAGGCAAGAGAAGAAGATGTAAAAATCAAGGCAAAAGGCCAATCAAATTACTTCTGTAAAGAACTGCAATGTTGCAGTTCATGAAATTTTACCATGATTTTATTGGGAGTCTCACAATATTTTTCGTAGAACCCCAGCTCCTGTTGTTAAATAATTTTGTGAGAATCTCAGTTTTCTCTTTTTCATTTTAGCCCTCTTGGTTGTGAAGAAAAGCTTGAAAGTGTGACCTGAGTGCACCTTGAAAGTGTGACCTGAGTGAGGCTCAGAAACCAGAAGAAAATTAAAAAGAACTCCAAATTTATTATTTTTTTAAAAGTATGATTTTTCAAGCCCATAATCTCATGATTTTTTTGAGGCTTGATTAATGATTTCTGAATGCTTGAGGTTGGCATATTGGAATTGTAGACCTCACTAGAAATAGCACTAGTCCAGTGTTTCTCAAACTGGGGCGGCCAGTGGGAGCCGCGATTGGCCGGACCTGCGGACGGGGCAGGTAAACAAACTGGCCCGGCCTACCAGGGGCTTTCCCTACACAAGCGGCAGCCCCAGTTTGAGAAACACTGCACTAGTCTCACTTCATCTCTCTGGACCCAATGAATTTCTTTGATGACAAAAGGAAGGGTCTCATCAGAAGTGAAGGAAAAACATGGCAGCTATGGACCAGCTGTATTATTAACCATTGATATTTGATAAATTGGGGATTATGTTTAACTAAAACCTCCAGACTTTGCATGTAAATAGTCCTCATTGAGGAGTAGGCTCTACATTTGTGAGGAAAGTAAATATAAAAAAGTTATTGAAATGAATGAGAAATCACTGCTGAGCAGGGCATCTGCTGAGGTTTACAGCAGAACCTAAAGAAGATCTGCCCCCTATAAGATCTCTCAATGCAAAACTTTCCTGATAGGCCCAAGAGCTGCCACTAGAACAACTTACTGGAAGAGAATTTGAAGTGTCTCAGGAAGTACACCACCACAGTGCTCCAAAATCACGTAGATTATGTATTTTTCTTTCCTGCTGTTGAAAATGCACCTTCTAATCATCAGACCCCTTTAAAGTGTTTCATGTTGAACATCCAAAAACTGAGGTATACAAAGCTACTAACCACTTTTGAAAATCTTGGCCTGTATATTTAAAAACATATATTGAGCCCTGTCTCTTAGCCCTGAACACTTTATAGAAATGGCAATATATTGCCTGAAATCCAAAGCTCCTTCCCTTCCAGCAAGAATTATCCTGTGAATCTTCAGCACTCCACTTGTATTGTGAGGGCTGATAGTCCCCAGCACTCTACATGACAGTCCCATTTAACTCCTGGTACTTTACAACCTTCTGTTCTTGCAGAATTCAGAACAGTAAGGCACACTTTACACCTGAGATACAGTAAAACATCTGGTTTCATAGTGTTTCTGTTATTCTCCTAGAGCAGCACAAATTCCCTGTCCTTTTTTCACCAGTTTGCTTCACTATCTTTCTATTACACTGTGTTCCTTCTCTGTGGAAACAACAGACAGTGTAAAACAGTCTAGAAGACTTTTAGGACAAAGTTACATCATGTTCTTACACTGTAAAGCAAGTATAGCTTTAAAGTACAGTGGCAGTGATGTTATCAGTAAGGTCACAACAGTTTCCATCCTAAGCCTCTGTTTTAAGCCATTCATAACTGTGAAATTTACTTTTCATGCTAAAAAATTTCAAGCTTGGACTTTGCCTTAAAATGAATTATTGAGAACAATTTGAACAAAAAACAACATTTGCATATGAGCATAATTTAAATATATATATACCATAAAAAGTATTTACAGTAATTTTTGGACAGATTTACTGTCAAAACAACTAGGGACAGAAAGTAAAAATTGAAGATTAAAATATATCCAACTGATAAGTACCTTTGGATGTAGAGCGGTTAGAAAAAAAAAATTGACACAATGTTTTTTGTTGAAAAATGGAGTCCCATCAAAATTGAAACACTTCACAAAATTGTGGTGCTCATACCAAAGTTTTATTGGAGAAAAAGGGTGCTAACAATGCAAAAACATCCCGTGTTGACATTTTCAGTACAAAACATTTCAGTGTATCTTTTTGAAATGACTTTGATTTAATTTTTAAAATTTTGAATATACATTTATATAAAATTTGAAATTGAAACAATTATTTTGATTTTATCAAAGCAAAATATTTCAATAGAGAAGGATATCTTTATTTTATTTTATTTTATTTTATTTCGGAAAATTTCAGGATTTTCAGGTTTTGTTCCAAACTAGAGTGAAAACAAGTCTCTCAAAATCTGCTGTGAAATGGAATATTTGTTCTCCACTCAGCTCTATTTGGATATATCATTTCCTGTGTATTTTTCTGTACTCTGTATTCTGGCATACCCAGAGTAGTAACAAGAAGTTATATTTGTATCTAAGTTTGTAGAATTGTATTATATTTTATTGAGGAAATAGTATGTGTTCATTTAATTTAGACAACATAATGAATATGCACAACGTGACAGACCTAAAAATTGCATGAAAAACCTCAATGATGGCATGTCCATGCATGCTTCACTTTGAAATTTAACATTCTTCTAACTTAGTTCTTTGTATGGAATAAATGATGGTTTACATAGCATCACTGTGGTAAATGTACATCTGAATAGAGATACTGTGTAGTTCTTATTTCACTTTTTTGCTAAGGTCTTATATAGGTCTAAATAACTGCAATCATTCTTACATCCCGAATGCTCAACATTCAATACTCTTGCATTGGCCTTGCTGCTATAACAAGGCATGTGAGTAGAGGAAGATGGGAAATATGTGCTTAGAAAGTAGCAAGAGAAAGCAAAGGAGGTTTGCTGCCAGCAACCAAAGAGATGAGGAAGGAGTTCACACTTGAACCCTCCCACGTGGTACCACTTATTGATTCATATCTAACCTACATGTAAGACCCAAACACTCCTTCATTTGGTGAGACTTAAAGGGTGCATCTACACTTCAAAAAAACCACCCTGTGGCAGCAAGTCTCAGATACTGGATCAACTGATTCAGGCTCACTCTTTGGGACTAAAAATAGAAGTGTAGACATTCCTGCTTGGGCTAGAGCCCGGGCTCTGAAACCCAGCAGTGGGGAGGGGGAAGGTCAGATAACAGGAACCAGTTTGGATTCTCTTTAGTGCACAGCTAGTCATTTAGTTGCTTTCTTTGTAATGTGTAGTAAAAATTTATTATGGTCTGGGACTTCTGTTAAGTCATCTTTATGGCACTAGAACATCATCTGTCAAAAAGAAATGACCTTTTCTAAGAACAAAATTTCCCTGCTTATATCTTTCCAAATGTTGATTAAGTTATGTGAGAACAACAAGGAAAACAAGATTTGTCATACTGAAAAGCTGATGAATATGTACTGTAAGGCAACGTCACATTCTCTAATTAATAAACAATTACAGCTGTAATTGTTTGTACATTCCTGCAAATGCCAACAAAATCAAACATCTGTCATGCCAGATGACGAAGCACAACTCATTTAATGTACTTAGCACTCCACTCATCTTGAAAAGGTCACTCGGGCTTTAACAAGCTATACATGGTTAGCCAGCTTTTAGGAAATGAGCGTGTACCTTCCAAAGCATGCAGTTTGTATCAGCAATAAAGGTGCTATCATATTTGGCTCACCTTCAAGTGACATATTTGGCTTAAATAACAAATTATAACTGGTGCAATCTGCCTAATGTTTCTGCTGCATGCTTGGATACATTCAAACCTGTTCTATTATTTTTTATAATTTCTGTAGAAGACACGCCCAGAGTCCGCAGTTAGAATCAGGCCCCAGCGTGCATGGCTTCATACAAGCACACAGGAAGGCAGGGTCCCAATGAACTAACAGACTAAGAGAACACACATACAATTCTATTCTATATTCAATATCAGTAAACACAATCTATTCTTTTACGGCTCAGTTGTGACTTTTAGCCACGGGCCACTAAGGCTGATCTGTAAGGGGTGTACCATACCATGCCATAGATTAATATATCAGACTCCCCAGGCCTGCACTGGAACTTAGTGGGACTCGGAAATGGTAGAGTCTTGCCTCCTCCCTATCCCCTTTGGCGTGACTTACTCCCACAGAAGTCCTAGGAAGGCACAGCCAACATGTAGTTGTGTGCAGTTGTCTCCCTTCTGCCCTTGTGCAGCTATAATGGGAAACAGATTTTTTTGTAAAAAACATTGTTGATAGAACACAGGGGAGTGACATGGGCCATCAGTGATGTCAATAAGAGAGCTGTTAATGCTACACTAGTGCAAAAGCAGGGTGTGGGTGGTGGTACAATTAATTTAACCTGTACATAAGAAGAGTAGATATTACCAAGTGCCAATAGTGCATGCTAGCCTAATAAACTGGTTCTGTTCTTACCTGAATAAAGGAAGCTAATCCTCAAAGACACCATTATATAAGAGATCAGATTGGTTCCCAGCCTGCATTGGCAAGCTAGAGTTACCACAGATGCACAAATCACTTCAGCCTTTAGACCGATGGGAGCTGGCCAATGCCACTACCACCTCCTCTTCTCCCTGCCCAAGTGCATGATTCCCAAGGTAGTTCAGGGAGCTGGTCCAATGACTACATCCAGAAGCTTCAGACTAATAGGGCAATATTCTAACAAAGCACGCACCTCATATAAGATAATTTTGAAGTAATTTAGAAGTGAAAACACCTTATAAAAATGCCATGGTCTCCCACCTTTCTTTTTGCAGTCTATCGAGGTTGTTTTCTGGTACACAGCAGGAGAGTCTGAAGCCCAAAGGAGGGTAATACTGTACTACTTTGCATTTAGAGAACTATTTTCATCGTAAAGGATTACAAATCACTTTATGGACTGTGGATTTGATTCACTCCTGCTGGTGCAGGGAAATGCAAATTACAACTCTCTGTGCCACCAAAGGCTGCAGAACCCCAGGGAAAGGACAGGCAGTTTTGCACTGTTGGCTACCCACAGGGATTTCATCAAGGAATGGGCTTGAAATTGCAGCTGGTGCTTCGTTGAAGCCCCTCTAGCAGAGGTTAGCCAGGGACTGGGCTGAATCCTTGCTGCCTCTGCTAGTCTGTCCACAGTCCGTTGATGACAACTCCACCCACTTTGGGCCTGGGCTAGCTAACTATAGGCCTCCTGGTGGATTGGAGGGTGCAAGTAATTTGTACCCCTGCAACCATTATGACCACTATAGGGATCATTAACCTACTAGTCACCTCTGTAGTAGAATGTGGCAGCCATTGTGCACCAATATACACAACGGTTTTTAGAAGGGAAAGAGAAGAAAACTTACATTTCTACTTTACTAAATTTTACTATACGACAAAAATTCATTCTGTTGAGCCTCTTTCACACAGAATCTATCCCAAATTACTTTACATAATTCAGTTACAGAGATAATAGCAGAGAGTGATTAAGATATTAAAAATTATGGATGAGAGAGGGGAGAAGATCGGTATAGGTCATTGTTCCCATCTTTCTTGAATATAGTATGTTGGCCAGCTGGAGTCTGAATCATTTCAGTATGTATGGAGATGAGTAAATTGACCTTAGACCTTCTTGTGGCTTTAGCATAAGACCAGGTTTAATCAAACAGTGTTTTCCAAATTGCATGCAATTGCAACGCAATTATGTATGCCCTACAGTATTACACACGTCTACTCTTCCAGGATGCAGTATCATGCATCAACATGATAAAGGGAAGGCATGTACATTTTTTATCTGGGTTGCTAAATTTTCCTGACTGTTTTGCAAGGCTGATATACTGGAACAGGGGAGGAAGGAGGCCATGCAGTTAAGTCCTGGGTCTGCCACAAATTTCTTTTGTGACCTTTGGTAAATCATTCAGGGTCAGATCACATCAGGCCTAAATATATTTGCACCAACTGAGGCTCTGGTCCTTAGCCTTCCTATGACTCAGTTCCCCATCTATAAAATGAGTATAATACTTACCTGTTTCATGGGGATATTTTGAGGATATATTCATTACTGTTTTTGAGGTACTCAGATACTGCAGTAATGAGAATCATAGGTAAAGTCATTAGAGAGATTATCCTAACATATATTTTCACAAATTGTTTAGTATACAGCATCAAACAGAATGAGATGTGGCACTGTAAAACAGCCAGAAGCTCAGTTCTGAAGTCCTTGCACAGTTATAGCGCAGATCAAAGTTTCTGGGAATTGTGTGTGTGTTTGCAAAGTCTATATCAGTTGGAAAGATTGTCCTTGTTTGTGAAGGTGTAACCTATCCATCACTTACATAGTGTGTCTCTGTCCCTCTCTAGTGGCTGGATTATATATATCTAGATGAATCATCTACTGTGCTTGAGCTAACACAAATGAGTCTTTTAGTTCAGGCAGTGAGTAGAGACTTATTGTTTTAGAACCAGAGGTCCTAGTTTCAGCCTCGACTGACAACAATCCACCCTGGGTGCAGGCAGCCTGGGTGCAGGCAGAGAGCTACACTAGATAAGTGTGGGTTACACAAGCCAAGGGAATCATACACAGTAATCCACCAGCACAAGTTGTCCTGATCTTTTTAACTATGATTTTATACCAGATTTTCCAAGATGTGCGATTCGTGTGCCCAGATACCAAGGTTGTACTCAAACTGGATATTTTCATATACGGACAGCCTGTTAGGTATCAAAATAGTTATGTGCACAAATACCCTAGTTATGCATTCAGTCTTGCTATTTGCATGCTATCTTAAGTGCCTACTCTTGGACATTGACTTGCACAGAACTACGAAAATCAGATCCTTTGTGTACACTTTAACTTGAGTCTTGCCAAAAATCTGGGCAGTGGGTAATTAATCTTGATCAGGAAGATTTATTTCTGTTTGCTTTATATTGTTATTCATATAATTAAAACCAGTTTTACACCTTAGGTTACATTGTTATTTGATCTATCTGGGCTACAATGACTACATCTAATTTACTCCGAGAAAGCTTACTCATACTGAACAGCAACATAGTTCATTTAAGGAATAGATTCTGTCACCCTTACTCTGACTCAGTAGTATCTTACTCCAAGTAACTCCATTGATTTCAGAGTGACTATTCACTGAGTTAATACTACTCAGACTAAGTAAGAGAGGGATATCTGGTCCTTGGTTTGTACAAAACCATACAACTTTTAATACAAGGTTTGAAAAGATATTTTGACCTTCTACCTGTATCACAGCAAGAAGTTATGAGAATTTTTTCAAGAAACTTCCACCTCTCATAAAATCTGGGCTTAAAAACCCCTACATATATTGATTGAGCTTACTCTACAAGCACAGTGTTATCCTATTCAAATATATGAAATGTCAGCTCAAAAAAAACATGTTTTCCATATACAAAGAAAAAAAATCCTGTAAATGGGGAAAAACACCCATTGCTAATAAAGAATCCTCACTTTAATCACACGTTTTCTTCATTACTTCCATATTTTAGGTGATATAAAGGGAGGAACAATTATTGCCTTGTTCACTTTGATTTATTTGGCTCAATGCCTCCTTACCTAACTAACGTAAAATAAACTGTGCTACATGGGTCATTTATGATGAGATTTAATAAGATGCTTCTTATTTCCACCCTGCAGGGAAACATATTAGTTTGCTAGCACCTGGCAAAAAACATTTCTTTCATTCTCTCTTTATTTTCATTCAGTAGAATTCAGTGAATGAGGTAATTTAAAGCTACAATGCACACATTGTCATTAAAGGACAATCTACTAAAATAGGACTTCAAAACCCAGAGGAGAAAATGATGCCCAGATGTCAAAATGAGGAAGGTCATGAGCAAGCCTGACTGGTTCCTAACTTCCTGTAAACATTACTATGTAAATGAAGTCTTATTCTTTTTCATTGCTCAAATTCTAAATGTTTCCCCATCTCCAGTCATGTTATTTACTAGCAAAGTAACATAATTTGACAGGTATGTAAGGTAATCTTGTGGGTAAGGCAATAAAAGCTAGGAATCTGGTGTGCTATTAGTTTCCTGCCCTAGACTTCCTAGTGACCAATTTAGGCTGGGATTTAGGTGCCCCTCTTTCAATGGCATTTGGAGGCCTAACCCTCTTAGACTCCTTTGAAAATCCTTTGACTTAAGTTCTTTTTGCTTCATTGTTCTGCTCTGTAAAATGGGAATAATGCCTACCTACCACACAGTGATGATGGAAGGTTAAATTAACTGATATTCCTAAAACAGTTTCAAGTCCTTAGATGGAAGGTGTATATACGGTCAGTGAAACAGCTGTAATCTGGTGCCGGTTGCAAACCACTATAGTTATGCTCGCATAACAGTTTCCATTAAAAGTCTCAGATTTTAGTCGCTCACAGCATTCTCAAACTTTGATATTTAAGATAACACTTTCCATGTTTGATCTTAGCTTGGTAGTCATTTCTGAAGTGGGGGAGGAGAAGGAAGAGGGAGAATACTTTTCCTGTTATAAAAAATGTCTTGTAACCCTTTTGGACAACCCTACAGATGAAACAGCTTAGGGGTGGTATTTCTCCATCTCAGGAAATATTGGATTTGATTGCATTTGAAAATCACATATCAAGCAGCAGATTTCTCATTAAGTTTATAAAACACACACTGTGCATGTGGAACTACTATTCAATGCATGTTATGTGCTTTCCATCTGTGCATGACCCACGGAGGATATGGTCTATTATACCTCTCACTTTGGAAGCCTTACTCTTTAGCTCAAACTATGGAAATTTATGCTGTCAGATCTAGAGAGCCCTAGTTCAATCCCTGGTGTTGGCCAAGATAGCCACTACCACTGATTATTTATTTGGTGTTGGTCCTGCTTTGAGCAGGGGGTTGGACTAGATGACCTCCTGAGGTCTCTTCCAACCCTAATCTTCTATGACTGTATGATTCTACCACAACTTTTTGTAGATAACATAACAGTGTACTATGGCCCTGATCCTGCAGTGAGCTCCATACAGGCAGACCCCTGCATCTACACAGAATCCCTCTTATATCAGTGGATCACAACACAGATGCAAGGGTCAGAGACAAGTAATGTGTAGTCGTGTCTAGTGGTTGGAGCAGGAGTTGGTAGCCAGGAATCATAGCTGAGAGTCAGAACTGGAGTCAGAGGCCAGAGACAAAGTCAGGAAGCAGAGCTGAGGATCAAAGCTGGGTTACCTGGAGTGAAGCAAAGCAGGAGTGGAGCTGGGTCCACAGCTAGGAACAAGCTGGCACAGAAATTATCATAGCTATGGGCAAATGCTGTGAGCTGCCACAAAACTCCAGCTGAGGCTAGGCTTAAGAGCTCGTCTGCTGCCTCTTCACAC